AGCCCATCCTCTATTTGTTATCCTGGATTCACCACTAGGTTAAAGGTTAAACGACAATGTATGATAATTCTTATTGGTCCAATGACTACATTTATCCACTGCTCTTTTTTGGCTTTTCATGTTTGCTCATTTATAATACTTCGTTTGGTTTCCACAGGAAAAGATATAGTGGGAGTCAGAGCAAAGTATTTCATAGCCACCTCCAAAGAACATTGGTATGCACATATATGAAAATGTTGGGGGGTTTCCCCCCAACATTTTTCTGGAAACAAACTGCCATTACTACAGGTTACCCTGAATCTATTTCCCATTAGTTCCTTGCTGTAGCTATGTCCACTATGATTTCATTTATGATTTTGTCTGGGCTTACCTGTTTGTTTCCCTTGCAGAAGTATTCAATCCAACACCATTCTGCACGCTCTCTCTCTCTCTTTGCCCTGCAGCTCCATGTTTACTTTCTTCCCAGGTTTGGTGGTCTGTGTCATGAAATAAAACCTTACAACCTCTTCCTTATTATTTCCAAGGTTCCTCGTATTTAAAGCATTACATATCAATTATTAACTGGTTAAAAAGAAAAAAAAAACTATGAATAGATGAATAGTGGATTTTAGTTTTTCCTTTTTATGCCCTGCGCATACAGTTCTAATATCACCCAAGATAGCAGCTAACCAATGCCTAATGTGTCAGCTTTTAGATGCTTACAGTAGACATATAATGATGTTTCGGCTCATCATCTCAAAGCTCTTCTTCTCCTTTATTGATTTCATATTCAGTTGCTTGAGCTTACAGCCTGAGAGAAGATGTTTTGCACTTCTGGATCTAGGTGCAGCTGCAACACAAACTACACCAGTGGGTACATCTAACTTGCTGACTTTTTTCTTGATCTGTAGGGAAATGCTTTCATTATTTCTCTGAACACAATCAGGACTAGCCTGTGAGTTACATGTATGTTGTAAAATTAAGTTTTGTGGTAGCTACTTAATATTGATTTTGTGGGCGGCTGGTTGCAGAAAGAAGTACCCTGACCCCTGGAAGAGGAGAGTAACAGCACCAAGGTTACTATCGTCCTCGACTTGGCGCTGGAGAAGAAGGCACGACAGTTTGAGGTGGCCACCAATTTCGGCAAGACTGCCCATGGCTGCTGCTCGGCTCCAACTGCAATTGCAACCCTTGCAACGGGTAAAAATCATTTAGACGCCTGAATCTGCCTGCCTTGCTGCTATTCTTTTGGTGGCCTGTTCTTATAGCTGGTCTCTTTGCCTTCGACGGTGATTGTACATGTTTGTTGGTTCTGTGTAGTCATAGCAAAATAATGGAAAATGCTGGTCATTCTGCCTCGCTGTCTGTCCACATAGCAAAATGATTGAGTTTTTTTTTTTTGCATTCCCCTTGAAAAAGAATCTTCAGATGCATTCATTTGTAGGTGTGGTTGATTCGGCAAAGAAAAAAATAATTTGTTTATTACAAGGAATCAGGGATGCAAGCAGTTTGAAGAAATTTTTGGACTAATCTGAAAAGAAGGACGCAGCTCTGGATGAGGTATTATACATTGCATTTATAGGTTAATTTTGGTTCTATATATCCAATTCGCTCGATTCATTTGGTACATATTCATATAGAAATAGTGTGATTCTTTCATTATGTATGGATAGTATTACAGAGCGATGTGAAAAGAAAATCATTAGGTGAATGTAAATAGCATGGTGAAGAATTATAATGACTAGCAAGCAGATTATGTGGAACTACTCCCTATGTTTTTAATAGATGACACTGTTGACTTTTATCATGATGTTTGACTATTGTCTTATTCAAAAACATTATATAAATGTCATTTAGTTTGTTGTGACTTCTATTTTATCATTTAAGAAACTTGTGGTATGGTTTATGCTTTGGCATATTTACACTTTCAGTATACCTGCAAGTAGTGGAGCGTTCCTACTTCAATGTCTCTTAAATTTACAAAATAGGTGGCTAAAATTTTGTAAGCCTCTAGGTTGTCATGGTTGATTTCTTCATGGCTCATCAGCTTTGCAGCCAGGTAAGCACTGAAGAGAATCCATACGCACTAGGATTGTATTTGCTCAGCAGAGAATATTTTCAATGTGAACTTATCAACATGATGAAAGTGGCTTTGTAAATGTAAGTGTTTGTCTGAATGATGCCTCTATGCTGGAAAATTACTAATAAAACAATACTGATGCAAATAGGTACCACTACTTCGGAGCATGGAGTGTCTGGCATGTTATTGCATAATGAGCAATTACAAGACTATGGCTACAGCACAAGAGTGAAGCATTTTACAGACTTGGCTCGTGCAGTATCCTTACTGCCTTACATAAATATTGGTGCTGCCAATATATAGTGCAATACTTATTATATCCTCAGCTTATCTACTCTTGGTGGTATGTTATGTCATGTATTCTTTGGATATAGTGAGATGCTCCAATCAAGGTAACGTCGGTTGAAATTTATGCTTCCCTATGCATATATTTTTAGTTGTTTATTCTAAAATCTATAAATGAAGTTGTATGTGTTCCTTTGCTAGCCTTCCTTCTGGTTCATGTTATTATATGCTTACACTTAATTCTATTTTGGTGCGTTGCTATTTGGTCAATATTCAATAGAATTGCATGATTCATAGGCCCACAGCACAATTGAATATACATGTTCTGATCTGCCACCTCCATGGTATAAACCTTGCCTTTTATTCCATTCTATTTCCATTTATTTCAGCTTCAGCAAACCTCACAACAGAGAATAATGAATTGGATTTTTTTTTTGATAAAGGAAGCTTTTATTAATCTCAGACGATTACATCAAGTTGATAGGAATTGGATTAGTGGCAGGTTTACATTGAAGATGAATATATGTCTATGTATATATACCACTTTGAGAATTATTATAAGAACTAATATGAAAGAAAAATCTTACTATCAATCTTAATTTGCATTGATATATATCCCAGGGTGAAAATTTGGCATGGAGATGTCAAGTGCTATTTGTTATGTATATCTATATATCAAGGCCCAGCCTATATATTAGGCCCATATAGTCCCTGAGGACTCTATATATATTGTCATCCAGAGAGAAAAGGATTGTATTGATTCTAATCCCCAAGGTAAGTAATATGGTATCAGAGCCATGGATTAGGGTTAGGTTTGTAATCATCTCCTACCCACGATCCATCCTGCTCATCACGGCACCATCTCACCACTGTCAAGCCTCCTTCCGGTCATCATCGAGGCTTTGCATCCTCTGCATCATCCTCACGTTTGGGAGCCCAACCTCTGGTCTTCATCTAGGAGCACGCTCTGCAATCTGCTCTGGACTGAGGACTGCTCTGGTTTGGATTTGATTGGTAACTGGTATCTTTCTTGTTTGGCTGCTGTGGCAAGTATTAGTACTAGTTTACAACATGTCACAGATCAATGCAATTTCTATCAATATCATCCTTGATGGTCAGAACTATAGGGAGTGGGCTTTTTGTGTAGAGACTGCTTTGAGGGGTTATGGTTTAGCTTTTCATTTAACCGACGATCCACCTGCGCCTAAAACTGGTGATAAAACTAATGATACTAATGCAGCTGAAATTAAAAGTTGGAAAATTAATGATGGTAAAGTGATGGCTGCCATTTTTAATAGTGTTAAGCACTCCTTGATTATGAGTCTGTCCAAGTTTCAAACAGCCAAGGCTATATGGGGTTCTCTGAAGCAACGTTATGTTCAAGATAGTGGTGCTCTTTTGCATACTCTCATGCAGCAGACTCATGCCATTGAGCAAAATGGTATGTCCATTGATGAGTACTACTCTGCATTTGATCATCTTATTGACTTCAATGGTGCCTACCTATACAACTGCTGCATGTCCAGCACACCAATTTCTTGAAAAGTTTCTTACATATTGCTTTGTTATGGGAGTAAGAGAAGATTTTGACTTTATCCGTACTCGGCTGCTTCACAGTTCCTCTACTCTAACCATGGCACAGGCATTGTCTGATTTACTTGCTGAGGAGACACGCCTCAAATCTCTACCTGCACCATCTGTGTCAGTTTCTCATGGTGTGTTAGCAGCTTCTCAGAGGTTTGGCGCATCCAGAGGTACCTCTTCAATGCCTTGTAAGCATTGTGGAAAGACAGGACATAGTGCAGAGAATTGTTTTGCTCAACACCCAGAGAAGTTGGCTGAGTATAACTACAACAAAACCACTGTTATAAGACATTTGACTTAAGACACTCTGTAAGTTGTCTCAACTTTGAGAATTACGATTAAAATAGAGGCGACTTTTGAGACGCTTTACAAGTTGGAGACATAGTTTAAGACACTTTACGATTAGCATAAGACTACATCGTTTAGATATGAATATTGAGACGTTTTCAGACGTCTCATTTCTAAGATGTGTTTAGATATGAATACTGAGACATTTTCAGACGTCTCATTTCTGAGATGAGTTTAGATATGAATTTTGAGACATATTATATGCATGTCATTGACATCAAACAATACAATTATTATTTACACAGAAAAAAAGAATATTTGAATCATTTAGATTCCATCGGAAAACTACATAATTCCTTATCATCTTCATCACATAATATTATAATTATTTAATCATTTAAATCATGAGGGTTTCCGAGACTAAAATAATATTATAATAATTTTTGAATCATTCAGACTCAATAAAGTCTCTCTCAAATGATTAATATTATAATATTATTTGAATCATTTGGACTGCATTGAAAAACATGAAAAATAATGTACTCGTCCACAGAACGTACAGATTGCGATAATGGGGCACTAACCAAATTAACGTGAATAACTAAGCAGCAAGAATGTGCTTCTTTGTTAGATAGGATAATTACAAACATATACACGTACTTGGTTGATAGAAGTGGGCTGGACCTGCTGCAAACCACTTTATTTGTTGGGCCGACGCTTTGCTTTGTTGGGTGCGTATTTGTGAGAATTCTTGGACGATAGTCTCCGCAACAACCTCCTGAACAATAACCCTCGTGAACAATCCCCTTGGTGGCGGCGACACAACTCACGCCAACAGATTGCGCCTCCGCATCTCGCAGCGCCTCCTCCGTCGTCGGGTGCGGGGTTCCGCCGCCGCTCGCGACCTGAGGGGCAGGGCCTCCACCGGCAGCCGTGGGCATAGGACCTCCTCCGTTCGGCAGTTCACCAACAGGTACAGCTTCTCCGCCGGCTGGCAAGCCCAACGCATACAATCCATTACTCCATCATCACCATTCAGCAGCCATTTGGTCCTTTTCCCTTTTAAGTCTTTATTTGGATTGGGTTTTGTTATGTGTTTTCCCTTGTCATTTAGATCCGATGAATTTTAGAATTAAAATCTTAATCGCTTATCTAGCACTAGTAGTACTGCTAGTGCGGCTATACTGGTGCAGATTCATCAGGGTCACTAGTGACCAAGCATTGGAGTACATTATCCCTGAGAGGCTTGTGAGCTTGAATGCTTGATAGTACTAACAGATTTTGGTGCATGGAACCTGTCTGGGATGTACGACTTCCAGCCACATCGCTGACTATGAATGCAAACAACCCTTAAACTTATATAGCTATTGAATTGAACTTGATATGCAGAACAAGTATTATTCTAATTATCTCTAGTGATGTGATGTCATTTGGCTAACTCTATTTACATTACATGCTTACATATATTTTATGCATTATGTTTTCGCTCTGTATTTTTTATTTTTTAAAATATATATAGACGTATCCCCGTATCGGTGTTTTTAAGAAAATGACGTATCCTCGTATCCCCGTACCGCGTATCCGTATCCGTATTCGTATCCCCGTATCAAGGTAACATAGATATTACGTAGAACCAAGTTAAGACAACTTACGAGAGAGTGGATCCACGCATCTTATGAAATTTTGCTGTGAAGGTGGTTCTGAATGCTAGATATCAGTTCCCAAAAGATGAAACTACCTTTCACCAGTGGTATTTTAAATTATGGTTATGAAATTTGTTAACTATTAACATAGTTATTTCTATGCGCATCTTAATGTCCTTCTCAAATCACCCAATCAATTTCACATTCTTTTTTGTATAACTCAGAATTGGTCAGTAGATCAATAGCTAGTGTAAGTGTTAAGACTTGATGTTGTGTATTCTCGATTAATTATGTGAAGAAAAAACTAAGAAAAATCATGAATTTTGACTTATAAAATATTGTTCGGATGCAAATTTTGAATATATTCTTGTAGTATTGAAGAAGACAATGTTAATAACAAGGTTGATGTTTCTCTCTTATTACTCCAGCATACCATATGACTGATGATGGATCGAGATTGGATGAGTGAACCAAGATCATCCGCTGCTTATAAAGATGGTGTAGAATATTTCTTATCTCTTGCATTTCGTGATGTTCCAGAGGATGCCGAGGTCCTTTGTCCTTGCGTGAATTGTAGAAACAGGATAACACAGAATTTTGATAGAGTTAAAACACATTTGAGATGCGCCGGAATTCTTCAAAGTTATACCAAATGGATTCACCATGGTGAGAAATATGATCCACCACCATTAGTATTTGCTCATGTATCAGGCAACTCCATGAATATTCCTATTTCTAGTGTTCGCAAGAGTTGTGTGGTAGAAGGTGGAGAAGGAAGATCGGATGACATGGAAGGACTCCTAAATGCAGCATTTGGCAAGGAAGATAGCTACGAGTCTCTATCAAGTGCTTCTATCAATGATGATGATATTCATTTTGACTCTAACAGTGTGGAACCTGGCATGGATGAGGATGAGAATAATACATTTGGAGATGATCATATTGGGGGGGAACAAGATATGTTCACAAGCTTGTTGAAGGATGCAAAGACAAAACTATATCATGGGTGTGATAAATTTTCAAGGTTGTCATTCTTGGTGAATTTGTATCACCTGAAATGCATACATGGATGGACACAAGAATCTTTTACAGCACTACTTGGTTTGCTATCAGATGCACTTCCTCAAGAGGCAGATTTACCGAGGAATTGTTATGAAGCAAAAAAAAATCATTCGTGGTTTAGGTCTTGACTATCAGAAAATCCATGCTTGTCCTAAAGATTGCATGCTCTTTCGAGGTGACAGAGCTAACCAAGAGTCTTGTCATGTGTGTGGTTCCTCCCGTTGGATAACTGATAAGAATGGGCATCCAATTAACTCTGAAGGAAAGAAGAAACCAGCTAAAGTGTTGCGTTATTTCCCATTAATTCCAAGAATCCAGAGACTATTTTCTACTGACCAAACTTCAGGAGAGATGCGATGGCACGAGGAGGGACGTACAAAAGATGGATTGCTACGGCACCCTGCTGATGGTGAGGCTTGGAAAGATTTTAGTGCTCGTTTTCCTAGTTTTTCTGCTGATGCCCGTAATGTGCGGCTTGGTCTTGCCAGTGATGGATTCAACCCTTTTAGGAATATGAGTTCAAAGCATAGTACTTGGCCAGTGATGCTTATTCCTTACAATCTTCCACCTTGGATTTGCATGAAACAAACATCGCTAATTTTGTCGATGATCATTCCTGGACCAGATTCACCTGGGAATGATATAGATATATATTTGGAGCCACTTGTTGATGAGCTATTGCAACTGTGGGAGGGTGTGGAAACATATGATGCTTCTGCAAGGAAGAAAATTTCTCTCCGAGCTGCACTATTATGGACATTGAATGATTTTCCTGCATTAGCTTACCTATATGGTTGGAGCACCGGAGGGAAATATGCATGCCCATCTTGTGCCACACTTACAAAATCATTTCGCCTTAAAAAAGGTGGTAAATTTTGTTATATGGGTCATCGTCGATGGTTGCCACGAGATCACAAATATCGAGAATTGAATAGTCAGTTTGATGGCACTGAAGAGAAGGAAATTGCACCTAAAACATTGAATGGAACTTCTGTTTTGAGAATGCTGGAAGGCAGAGTATTTGTATTTGGTAAGATGGCGAAAAAGAAGGTAAGCGTAGCAAAGATGGCGAAAAAGAAAAAACAAGCCAAAAACAAAAGTAATGAGAAAGGGAGCAATCGGGAACTCAAGCGTAAGAGAAAGACATGCAAAGAGAAATCAAGTGATAACGCAAGTAAGTCTGGAAAGAAACCTGAAGATTGGTTGAAAAAGAGGTCAATATTCTTTAAGCTAGAGTATTGGGAGTTGAACAAATTAAGGCACAATCTAGATGTGATGCATATAGAGAAAAATGTGTGTGATAATTTAATTGGAACCCTGTTGGATATTAGTTCGAAAACTAAGGATGATCTCAATGCACGACTTGACTTGGTAGATATTGGCATTCGACCAGAACTTCACCCTACAGTAGATGATAAAGGAAAGCAAATATTGCCACCTGCACCCTTTACTATGTCAAGAGAAAATAAGGAGATTCTATGTTCAGTAATTCAGAACATTAAGACCCCACATGGTTATGCATCAAATATTTCTAGGTGTGTCAACATGAAAGATTGCACACTCAATGGTCTAAAAAGTCATGACTGTCATGTTTTACTAGAAGACATTCTTCCCATAGCACTTCGATCATGTTATCCTAGTAAAGCTGTCATGCATATAGTTAACGGATTGGCTCGGTTCTTCAAGAAGTTGTGTTCTAAAGTTATAGATGTATCCGAGCTTGCTGAACTTCAACAGAGTATTGTGATGACATTGTGTGATATGGAGAGAGTTTTTCTTCCATCATTTTTTACTGTCATGGTGCATTTGTTGGTACACTTGGTCGAAGAGGTTAAGCTCGGTGGTCCAGTGCACTACCGCTGGATGTATCCTCTAGAGAGGTATTTATATATTGTTTTGCTCTATTATATTAACTATACCATGGACATGACATATTTTTTTAATTATATATAGATCATTTGTTCGGATAAAGGCACTTGTGCGAAACAGAGCTTACCCAGAAGGTTCAATTGCTGAAGGTTATATTGCAGAAGAGTGCCTGACATACTGTTCAAGATTTTTAGAAGGAAGTACACGCTTTACAAGAGCACCTAGAAACCCTGAACCTTCAGATAATATAAAAGACATTTATATGTTTGAGAGTGCTGGTGAACCAATTGGCAAGGCCATCACCATAGGACGGTTTGACAACCAGCTTCTAGTGCAAGCACATCGATATGTCTTGCGACATTGTGATGAACTTGAAGACTTTCGCAAGTGCGTAACATAAGCATATTCTATCTTTTTTTTTACAGTCATATATATATTGTTTAATGTATCCAATTGTTGCAGAGAATTTCTTGATGAAGAGAAAAGAAAACTGCCTCATACAACTAACTTGACACAGTCCGACGTCGACAGGTTGATCAATAGAAGCTTTGCTGATTGGTTGGAACAAAAGGTATGATTGTCTATGTATTCATATTTATGCTGTAAGAAGTTATTTAGATAGCCAAGAATAACAATATTCTTATGCAGGTTTTACAAAATGGTGGAGTAGATATCGATGAAAAGACGAGAGCGTTGGCTGCAAAACCGAACAAAACTGTTGTGTGCTACAGTGGCTATATTATTAATGGTTTCAGGTTCCACACTATGATGCGTGAGGCTGGCCGCTCCACTCAAAACAGCGGCGTAGTTAACATTGCTGATGATGGTGTTAATTACTATGGCAGATTATCGGACATCGTAGAATTGTCATATAGAAAATACAAGGTAGTGCTCTTCAGATGTGATTGGTATGACGTCCATCATAAAGCCGGCATCAAAAAGGATGAATTTGATTTCACCCTTGTGAACTTCTCCCGAAAGATACATAGTGGAGATAAATTAGATCATGATCCATTTGTCTTTTCATCACAAGTGGAACAGGTTTTTTATGCTGAAGATGCAAAAGCTAAAGGATGGCACGTCGTAACGAGATTTAAGCCCAGAGATATTTTTGATATGGGTGTGGAACAACAATCTAATGAAACAGAGTAGAGGATGGTTGTGTGCTTTCAGGGATGCAGTAGCAGGAAATTATTTTATCTTGGACAATACTGTGTTAAAGCTTGTTTGTTTACCCATACACTCTGATTTTACTTTTTATTTAGCTGCTTGATTTGATTGCATATATTTGAATGAGCAATGATGTGAGTTTTGACTTATGGTGAATTTGTCGACTGGTTCTGTTTCTGTTCACTGTTGATATTGAAATCATCTAAATTTGTCGACTGGTTTTGTTCTGTTCACTGTTATGTGATGATAGGTTATGGTTGTTCAGTCCTAGTTTCAGGTTTGCCAAATACATGTCTTTATACTTTTAGGGAGTTGCTATGCATAGAAGCACAAATCTTACATTTCCTTGTTGGTTAGCACATCAATCTATCAATCAGTAGTTCTAGGGCTCGATTCCACTTCAACGCATCACTCGGTTTTTATAACTGAAAAACACACTCATATTTTTGCCCTTTTTCTTATTACATCATAACCTGATTTTTTTTTCTTTTGAAAAATACATCTATTATGAATTGTATTTTTATGAATTTGAACCCCTTTCCTTGCCTACGTGAATATTTTTTAAAAAATGCTTAAAATGATTTATAATATAAATAATCTACCCATATATATAAGTCAAGCCTAAAATATTTTTAACTACAAACCAAGTCACAATACAATAAATTATAGTTATGTAGTTCTTTCGAAAAAAGATAAATGGTCAAATAAATATTGAAAATCAACGGCATCATTTATTAAAAACCGACAACTTATACATATGTGGGTACATTAGGGATAATTTTATGAATTATCGTCCAGCCAACATATGCAAATTAAAATAAAAAAGCTTTTTTAATTGTTAAATCTCCTATAAATACAGACTTTTATTTATTAATTCTAAAAAAAATCGGAGCCAAGTATGCGTAGTACCATATAACATATCACCCATCTCGTATCATATCCCATATTATTTCCTTCGAATCGGATTCAGGAACAGATATTAATTTGTATCTCTAATTCATATATAATAAATATAATAAGGTAATTAAAGTATCAAAAAGATACATTAAGAAAAAATATACAATATTACATATGAGCACGTAAAATAATGGTTAACCAATCTTTTATCATGTTTTTATAATACATGACATACGGGCAAATACATGTCTTCCCCTATCCTAACCCATATTTTTTTAACGAATTCGAGTTCGAACTCGGATAGTATCGGGTATCCCCTTTTTTTCATATTCCTCCCATGAGTCTCGGGTCGGGCGGGCGGTTGGGAAATACCCGCCCTATTTCACCCCTACCGACAAGTTAGATCCGCCCCTGACCAATTCCGAATACAAACTATTATTTGCTAATTCCAAAAAAAATCTCAAGCCAACTTATGCAAATCCAGATTAGAGAAAATATATTTTGGAATTATTCATCTGAGATGGACAGGGACTTTAATTTATTAATACTAAAAAATTCTGAAGCAAAGTCATGCAAACCCAGATTAAATAAAAATATATTTTCAGATTGTTAATCTGACATGAATATATTTAAAAATATCTGAGATGAACATACAAAATTATTTACTATTTTTTTAAAAAAAATCTCAAGCAAAGTCATGCAAATCCAGCTCAAAGTAAAAAAAGCAAAAATACAACGAACTTTTGAGCTCGAACAATGTATGTATGTCACAGAAAAACACCTGTTAACCAATAGACCACAACAAGTATTGAGATTCTCTACACGTATGTTTGTAAAGATACGTGTAGTAGTAGTAGTAGCGTTCCTGTTTTGCCGCCTAAGGCGGATTTCTTTTGGCGGCATATTTTTCGAAGCGTTCGCGGTATATATATCGACTGCCGTTCCTAAATATATTTTGTTTTGCCGCCTAGGCTGATTTTTTTGGCGGCATTTTTTTTTTGGAAAGCTTACTGTATATATATCACGGACCTACTTTTCCACGCCACATCCCTAAACCTCTCCATCTCCATAGTACTCTCCTGTAACAGAATTGGAAAACCCAATCTGGCGACGGCTGCCCGCCGCCGGCACCCGGCGGTGCTGTTCCTCCGTTCTTCCTTGCACACGACGGCTGCCCGCCGCCGGCGCCCGGCAGTGCTGTTCCTCCGTTCTTCCTTGCACACAGGTGGGTCAATTAACCTCTGCTGATTCTTCTTGCTGTTTCTTTGTTGCGCATTGAATCGATCTAGGTTAGTACATCGCCTTCTCTCCTTAATTTCAGTCAATCAACAAGTTAGGCAAATTCAAAATCCCCCCTAGCTTCTCTGTAGTTTGGCCCCCTATTCCCCTCCATCAACAGCAGTTCATCACTGCCATAAGGGTTCGTTTAATCCCTAAGAGAAAGGGGGGTTTGGAGAGGATTGAGGGGGAACGATTCCACACCATAATAGGTGTGGAATAAATCCCTTCCAAATCCTCTCGGTCCACTTGTGAGAGAGGGATTAGCAGAACAAGACCTAAAGGGGTAGGGTTCCACTACCTTCCATTTCCATTTTTCTAATTTCTTGGTTGAAACTCTCAATGGTGGCCGACAAGTCCTCCTTGGGTCATCGTCTTTGTGGTCGCAATTGTTGCTGCTTGTAGTGTGCCCGATCTGCGAGTATCCTGGTATTGTGTAAATTGGATTTCATCAATGCACAGCTATCGTTATTCTGAAGATCCACCAAGCACAATCTTAATGTATAATTTATAATTCACTAAATTATTCTCATTCCTCTTTAGTATATTACTGTTTGACAGAATAAGGCACATATGCAGATGGAAATTAGATTGTGCAGTGCATTGTATATTATCTATGCCTAATTCTGTAAATGAACAGGCCATAAAAACAATAAAATTGCTTATCATGCATTTCAAATTTCCTATGCAGTTAATTAACTTTCATTATATGCATGTTTTACTTCAGTAAACAATTATGGCGAGGGGGCCAAGACGTCTACGGAAGTTGAACCTAGATGCACAGAGCGCAGGACATGTGCAAGCTGAAGAAGAAAATTTGCTGTACAACTTTGAAGCTCTAGATGAAGCAGATGCACAATTCAATGACGATAATTTGCATCTCGAAGCTCAAGATGCAGGGAATGTACAACCCACAGAAGATAGTGAGCAAGACCTTTCAGAGAATGATGACATAATCACGGAGTTGCCTCTTGCAGCCAAAAGACCAATTAATATAATCTGTTCTTCCTATATATGTCTATATATATGATTTTTCCTATCACCCATAGCTGAACTGTTCCTAAATGTAGGGCCAAATGGGGAGGTACGACGGGTTCTAGGAAATTTTAATGTAAAAAACTTGGACCAACTGAAGCAAGGAAAGGTAATTGTAGAGACGGATGAACATGGTATTCCAAATGATAGATCAGGTTCTGTTCTAGGCTCGTATCTTGGTAAGCTTGCACAGAATTCAACATTTGCACCATTGGACATTCCAAAATGGGACCATGACTTATTTGTGGGACCAAAGGAGAGCATAGTCGCTGACGTGGAGGTGAATTTTTAATTAATGTAAACAAATATTATCATGCTTATTTCAGATCTAACTTTTAGTTATTCATGGTAAAGATGAAATTTGTGTACCCTTCTGAGACGAAGCAGCTTACAAGAGACTGGATTCTAATGAAAGCTGATAAAGGGTGGAGATCTTACAAAAGCCGTTTAAAGGGAAGATACTTTAATCCTGATGTGAGGACTCTAAACGATATATTAAAATATGTCCCAAAAGGTGTCAATGGATATCAATGGCGTGGTCTTGTTAAAATATGGTGTCAGGATAAACACAAGGTGACCTCTCCATTTTAATGCTAAACATACAGTCCAAATTTTGTTTCCTAATCATCTGTATTTAGTACAGCTTCTCTATTTTCAGAAATTATGTGAGAAAAACTCTGAAAGCGCAAAACAGCAGAGGAATCCACATACAACTGGTAGAAAAAGCCATGCTAGGCTTTGTAAAGAGATGGTAATTATTTTGGACTTAAATGTTATTGTTACATATCTATAGCTTTCTAATGCTAAATTTGATCTATCTTCTGATTCTTTGTTGCCTAGGAAGCAAAAGTTAAAGGGAAGGTCCATGACATTGACGTATGGGATGAAGCACATAAGAAAAAGGATGAGCGCATTAAGGCAGTAGTGGTAAATTTCTTTCCTTGTTAGTTGTTATCACAAATGTAGTTTGGTTCATTTATGATAAACTAATTCATGCATGTTTAATTATGTAGGAATCGGCTTACCATGAATTAGCTAAAAAGAAATCTACTAGTTGCAGTGGTCTTTCATCCAAAGATTATGATGAAGTTTTTCGACGTGTAGTTGGAAAAGAGACAAAACTTCGAGGGTACTACGATCATAAGAATTGGAGCCAAATAAGGGTTTCTCAAGGACTAGATGTTGTTGGACAATCTGAGGAATATGCAATGCTTAAGTTACAAATGAATGCAATGGAAAATAAAATAGAGGCTATGAGTGTTGATATGACTCTGATGCGTGCCTTCATAGAACAAAAATTCCCTGGAGAGGATTGGAGAAATATTGTGGTTGCAGAACAAAATAAAGAAGTAAGTGTCACTGTACACCATCTTCCCCTGTCTAAAGATCAATTAACGAATACACTATGTGATCAGTACATATGCATGGATTATGCTTTTTTTGCAGGTTGATATTTCTGAACAAGTTGGTAATGATATCCAACATGAATCCAATGTTGAAGAATCATGTGAACATGTACATTCTACACCAGATAATGTGCAGGTGGTACAATATTTACTTGATAATTTTTAAATTGATGCTTTTGTAAGTCTTTATAATGTTGTTTTTCATAAGTTGCAGCAGAAGCATTTAATCAGTTATATTCCTGCTAAAAATGGTTGCCACAAACCATCTGTACCACATGAACACATGATTGCCAAGGTAACTTATGCAAATCTCACTATGCTCACCATATGCATTTTTTACATTATATATATAATTAAATTGGCCTTCAATTGTAGCAATCAAGCATTGGAAGCTTTGCTAGAAGGTCTGAAGCTAGTCAGAGATACATGGAATCAACTATGGCACATGACCATGGAACTGATAAGGTATACAAACTAAGCATGCACAAAGATTGAAAAGATTGATACAAGTAGAAGGTCTGAGTTATTTTTTGGTTACAGGTTGATATGTTTGATCAAGTTGACATTGACTGTACAAATGAATTTGATAATAACTTTGATAATTCATTTGCCAATACCTATGCTAAGTCAAATCATGTGCAAGTGCGGTGTTTACTTGAAAAGTTTTAATTGAGGCTTTCACAATTTCTAAATATTGACATTTATCATAAGTTGCAGCAAGTACATTCTATTAGTTCTGCTAATGGCAATGGTCGTCGTTTCAATCCATCTATACCATATGAATGCACAAATGCTAAGGTGACTTAGGAAAATCTCACTACATAATGAGTTCTGCTTGATTTAAACAACAATACCTAATTTTAATGAATTTCAATTACAGCAACTAAGTGGGGAAAGCTTAGGCAAAAGGTCCATAACAAGTCAAATGAATGTGGAATCAATGGTGCCACGTGAGAATGTGACCAATGAGGTATATACAACTAAGCACGCAAATATCAATTAGTAAATTTATTTGGCAATACTGTGATTTGTTTGATTTTTTATTCAGGCTTATGTTTCTGAACAAGATGGTACTGATATTATGAATGGGTTTGTTCACAACCGTGAGGAACCACATGCCAATGAGAATGCTATACCAAATAATGTGCAGGTTCTGGAATGTCTACTTTAAAAATGTTGAATCAAAGTTTGCCAATGTCTTAATTCTATCATTTATTATTACAGCAATTATGTTCTGTTAGTTCAACTAGAGCTAAAGAGAATTGTTCTACTAAAGCTTTGCCATCTGACCACATAACTGCAAAGGTGTGTTACAGAAATCTTACTCTATTACTGAAACATGTGATTGTTACAACATTTCACAAAGTTGACTTTCAATTGTAGCAATCAATCATTAAAAGCTCTGTCAAAAGGACTAGAACTAACTGTGTGGATTCAATTTTACCACCTGATAAAGCCAAACAGGTTAGATTCAAACTATTATGCTCTTTTAGTTCTAGTATTAATGCTGATCAAGCCTGCTCATCCACTTTTGATTCTTTAAAATTTTTAACACAGGGGCCTCAGAGAAAGGGAGTATTAGAGAATACTTCATCTAAATCAGTATGTGGTTTCCATTGTTTATGATAAAATAAATATTCATATGCTCATGAATGACAATGCTCCTAGTTTTGCGAATGACAATATTGTGTTTCTCAAAATGATAGGATCAAAGGGTGGTGTTCTTGTTTTCATTGAATCCAGTATACAAAGGCAAAGTAGTGGCCAAGGGAAATTTAGTGACTACAGATAGCACATATGTGGTTGGAGGAAATATGCTTGGAAATGAATATTATGGTGTGGCTGTTCATAGTGTTACAAATATTGGTGATGAGAGACTGCCAAGACCATCTGAAAACTGTACTACATTAAGAGAGGCAATTGGTTTTGTCATTCCTTGGCCTCGTCCCTATGTAATATTAATCATTTCAACTCCTATTATAATTTGTCACGTTGCATTTTTTTTTTGCATATATCTCGTTACTAATATAATATCTTGACCTTTCAGGTAAGAAAGCGTAGGGATACAAGTTCTGCCCAGTAGCAAGGCCCTTTCATACGAGTGCTCTGCTCATAACCAGAATTTTGCTGTTATTATTGGTCTGACTATAGGATAATGAATGGAGGACTGAAGAAAAGAAAGAGTGGAAGCCCTGATATTCAACTTTCCTTTTGAAGAAATATTATAGATTTCCTTCTAGCAGTTTAGAAAAACACGCACAACAAGCTGTAGGATGTTATATATGTGTGTGTCTATTGCACTTTAGTTTTCCAGTTAGTCGTATATGTCTATTTAAAATTACATGGATGTTTTATTTAGTTGTAAACTCCTTGCTCTCATACAAGCATGTACAGCCTTTCCCCTTTTAATATATTATATGTTCTTGTATATGGTCGGGAATATGGTACTGCCTGCCCATGTAATTTTTTACATGCACATGTATATAGACTCAATTAATATATGATTAATTTAATGTGCATCCATATATATAATTATATACAATACGTACTCGTTACAATATACTAAATGTATAAAATACATACTACGCTATATCTAAAATACTGCCACCGAGACGCAACAGAACGTCTTAATTAATGTGCTAAAATACTACTACTGAGACGCAACAGAACGTCTTAATGGATGCGTCTATGGACGTTGTACATTGTTTTTTAAAAGCGTCTCTATGCCTATAGAGGTGATATTCCACGTCTCTAACAACGTCTTAAAATAAATTAGGTACGCTTTAGGAAATGTCTCTATTTTTTTGAGACGGTCGAAACGAAGACGTTCCTATGACACTTTATAAAAGCGCCTCGCTTGTTTGCGGAGACGAAACAAAACGTCTCTATATTACAAATAAAATGTCTTCTTTGGGGGGGTTTTGTTGTAGTGTATCGTGCCCGTCGTGCTTCTCGTGGTCGCGGTGCAGCTCCTACTACTAGAGGCTCTGTGTCCGTTCCTGCCACCTCACCTATTGGCGCCCCTCAGTGGCTCAGTCGTCTTGGGTTCTTGATTCCGGAGCTTCTTTTCATGTGACATCTGATCAGTCCTAGTTGGTAGCTTGCAAGCCAGTTAGTGACGGTGCCTCTATTCAGACAGCTGATGGTACATCTTGTTATATCATTCATCAGGGTTCTCTTTGCAATTCTCATTTTTCTGTACCTGATGTTTCTTGTGTTCCTCAGTTATCAATGAATCTTCTTTCAGTCGGTCAAGTTACCAACCAAAACTACTTTGTTGGATTTGATGATTCATCTTGTTTTATTCAGGATCGTCGAAGCGGGGCTGTGATTGGGACTGGTCATCGCCGTAAAGGTGCTGCTAGCCTCTATATTTTGGACACCTTGCGTCTTCCTTCCGCTGCGCCTTCTGCTCGTGTCTTTGTGTCTGCCTCCCATTTCCTCTGGTGATGATATCTCTGCACTAGCCAATCCTGATACTTCTGTTCCTAACATGACACCTTCTCTTGATGAATTATCTACACCCACTCCTGCTCCATCACCACCACTCCCTATATCACCTTTCCCACATGTATACACTCGTCCCACACAACCCAGAGAGCATCTATCTACTCCTACCTCCTCGGCAAGTCCTGACACCCTTGTTTTTGATGAATCTAACACTATTGATGAGTCACAGGTTGGTCCTAAATGTAATCTACGAGATCGAACTACTATTGCAGCTCCTGACCGATTGGGTTTTCCTCATGTGAGTGTTGTCATTCCAGAGCCATCCACCTACCAGCAATCTTCTACTATTCCAGAATGGCAGCTTGCTATGTCTGAGGAGCTCGTTGCTCTTGATCGTATAGGTACTTGGGATCTTGTTCCTTTACCTTCACATGCAGTTCCTATTACAGCTAAGTGGGTATTTAAAATTAAGACTAAGTCAGATGGTTCTCTTGAGCGATATAAAGCCCATCTTGTTGCTCGAGGTTTTCAGCAGACTCAGGGACAAGATTATAATGAAACCTTTGCGCCTGCCGCTCATATGACCACAGTTCGCACTCTCGTTGCAGTGGCAGGCTACCTCTTCTTGGTCCATCTCTCAAATGGATGTTAAGAATGCCTTTTTTCATGGTGATTTGTATGAGGAAGTTTATCTGCAGCCACCCCCAGGTGTTGATGCTCCCTCAGGATATGTTTATCGTCTCCGCCATGCTTTATATGGTCTTAAACAAGCTCCTCATGCCTGGTTTGAGCGTTTTGTATCTGTGATACAAGCGGCTGGGTTTTCACCAAGTGAACATGATCCTGCTTTGTTTATTCATCTCTCTCCACGTGGACGTACTTTGCTTCTCCTATATGTTGATGACATGTTGATTACGGGCGATGATGTTGACCACATTTCTCATGTGAAGAGGCACCTTAATGAGCAATTTCAAATGACTGATCTGGGTCCCCTTAGTTACTTCTTGGGAATTGAGGTTTTGCATTCAGCAAAGGGATATTATCTCTCTCAATCCAAATACATACAAGATCTTATTGTGCGTTCTGGCATTACTGATAATAGGACAGTTGCAACACCTATGGACCTTCACTTGCAACTTCGTGGTACTGATGGTACACCTCTTGAGGATCCTTCTCATTATCATCATATAGTAGGCAGCCTTGTTTACCTTACCGTTACTAGACTTGATATTGCTCATGCCGTCCATATTTTGAGTCAGTTTGTGAGTGCTCCTACTTCAGTTCATTTTGGACATTTGCTTCGTGTGCTGCGATACTTAAGGGGAATATCATCTCAGTGTTTGTTCTATGCTCGTGATAGTCCGCTTCAGCTGCATGCTTACTCAGACTCCACTTGGGCGAGTGACCCAACGGATCGTCGTTCTGTTACAGGTTATTGCATTCTTCTTGGCTCTTCCCCTCTTGCATGGAAATCCAAGAAGCAGGCGGTTGTATCTCGCTCTAGTACAGAGGCAAAACTTCAAGCCCTTGCCACTACCACGTCTGAAATTGTATGGCTTCGATGGTTGTTAGTTGACTTTGGTATTGTCTGTGGTGCCCCCACACCTCTTCTTTGTACTGGAGCCATACAGATTGCTAATGATCCTGTGAAGCATGAACTTACAAAGCATATTGGTGTTGATGCATCCTTCACCCGATCTCATTGTTATCAGAAAACAATTGCTCTCCAGTATGTGCCCTCAGAACTGCAAGTCGCGGACTTTTTCTCTAAAGCACAAACTCGTGAGCAGCATCGTCTTCACTTGCTCAAACTCAGTGCTTTAGATCCTCTACTTCCGCCTTGAGTTTGAAGGGGGGGGGGGGTGTTATGTATATCTATATATCAAGGCCCAGCCCATATATTAGGCCCATATAGTCCATGAGGACTTTATATATATTGTCATCCAGAGAGAGAAGGATTGTATTGATTCTAATCCCCAAGGTAAGTAATACTATTGACCCTAGCAAAGATTTACATTTATAGTTTTAGCTTCGACTAATCACTTGCGTTTTACCTAAATAAAGTGTTACAACAATTTGCTAATTAAATTCATATAAAACTTTATTGGCCACATATCTGTTGCACATGTTCCTGCTTCATATTTTCCTTTAAAACATGAAAGTTACTAATGAATAAAGTGCTTCCATGTTGTATATGCTTCATTAGTTCTGTTGTATGCGCTCAGATTTTTTTTAGTGCTACTTGCAGCGTAATATATCCACCTATTCTTTTTATATCATCGAAAATTTGATAGATTGCAATTTTTGTATGCTGCGGGATGCTTTGGTACACATGACATGAGTTAAAGCAAGTCTTCGTCTGAAGACTTCCCTTACTATCCTATCATACCATTTTTTTTCCTAAAATCTAATGGAAGTTATCAATATTTTGGCTCTAAGGCAGTATTATAGATCTTGTAGGATATGAGTACCTAATGCTTGTGTTCTGGTTTTTCTCTTTTTTCCATTTCCATACATTGTTCTGAAACATTCTTGCTAGGTGTTCATCAAAATGTAGTTTCTTTATTTCTAGCTTCTTTCAAATAAATCACATCTATAGTATTATAGGACTCCCAAATAGTGATTCCATCTTGTGCTCTGAAATCCATCAGTTGAAATGAGAAAACACTCAGGATCAAATCCGAAAATGAATTTTTAGGGAACATTGTAATTTTGTAGTAGACTTAACACACATTTTCTTTCGCTAAGCATCTTCATTTGAGCAAATGAAGATTTTATGAAAAAATAGATTTTTCATTCTTAGTAGATTTAATGGTAATGTTTTATGAAAAAAAAGTGATGAGTTTGACATTTTACAGTACATTATATAGAGCTAACTTTCAACCTGTACAGTCTTTAGGTGGCACAATCATCTAGATCCAGAAACAATGAAAGACGCTTGTACTGCTGAAGAGAAACATGCACTCATGAATGCCATGTATGGATATATGGGAATAAAGGGGCATAGCAAAAGTTCCTGGAAGTTAGTTTATAAAGCTTACAACTTATAATTTAGCGCCATGGCCCTAAATTATTTAAGATTGGTCGTGGTCGGTTGTTTGCAAATCACAGTTATGAGTTGTGTTGTTATTTTGAAAAGACACTTCACATTTTAGTGAATCTTGAAGAATGCATGCTTTTGAAATCTGAACATCATCATTTTTTGTCTGTGGGAAAAAAATCAAAATTCAAAACTTTTTCTCCCTATAATAGTTACTTCCCGTTGCAGAAGCTACAGACTTGTTGAGCCCATTTGAATCAGGCATAATAGTAAGATTTAGTACGGACAGTTACTCTCTTAAGCAGGCCATGAATTCATTTCCTTTATTAGTGCCATCCGGTGCTTAACGTCTTACCCTGATGTCTGACGGAATTCAGTTTGGTTCCTTTCTGTAGTAGAACATTAGCACTGAGATCTGAAAACTACAACAAGGTACCAACTTTATACCCATCTAAACTCCAGTGATTTCAGTCCGTTCTGTGTACCTATTTTGTTTTTTCTTTCATGCATTGAGTTCTTCTTTCATGCATTTTCCAAGCCGAGCTTTTGAGTTTAGCCAAACGATCAAGAATTCTTGTTCTATCCAATCTGTTTGATTGATGTTGTAGATAGCCACCGATATCTTTTTCTGTAGTCAACTATATAGAATATCACGTGAAACATAGATGATAAACAACAGTGACTGAATAATTAGTGTTTTGTTGGTAAGGTACTGAGGTTGGTAATATGCTTCACCAATGAATGATTGGACTAACAGTCCGAGAGGACAGAGGAGGAATGGTACTGATATATGTAGCTATTCTACATTTTATCAGCAGCAAATGATTCAATTTAATTTGTATATTTATCTCTATTAATTTGACTCGATATCTCCTAGCATATCTCTTTTCATGCTAGGAAACCTTGACATGTCTAAAGGTGAGCTTATGTTATATATTGATGCCAGCAATAGGACAAGGGATAGTATGAAACCTTGACAT